AATTTATAAATAGCTTTTATATGGCATATCACATCTGCCATTGCATACGACGGAAATCATTATTTTTCAGCTTGTCTACTGTTTCCATAATTTGGCCCTTTCCAGTGGCATACTTATCCCTATTGTTCTTAGAAATGAAAAACGGTAACTAAAATAGACTTATTTGACTCTTATGTACACCCCACTCAACGGTTTTTTTCCAGAATAATAACAACAAAATTGGCGAGACGTCACGTCTAAGTCTCGCGTCTTATAGGGATTTCCAGAAAATCTATTTTTAGAAGAATAACCGGTGAATATACTCTGAAAATCTATTTTTAGGAAAAAAACAGTGAATATACTCTGATATTGACCTGCTATTTTTTACAAAAAGTTTCTTGTAAGCCAATCAGGGAAATGCATTTCAAAGCTATTTATAGATTATATAATAATCTCTCTGATTGACAAGACAATTTCATGATATTTTACCTTTCTGTTAACATGTATGCAAATTTTTTAAACAATACATGTATTTGTGATGATAATGATAGTAATTTTGCATCCTTTGGCATTCACAATATTCATAATGGAGAAATTTACTCTTATTGTATCTTATTTCTATATCTATATTAAAAGTCAGTACTCTTGTTTGCATAACGGAAAAAATACACTATCAACCATTTTAAAAATATTGTTCTCTTCCTAAACAAGAAGGCTCTCATATGGTGAATCTGACGTTATTCTCGCAGGTATGCAGTAGACATCACAGAAAATAATGACCTGTTTAATATAAAGCATGAAGGAACAACAAACGTATCTAATAACCATTTCTTCAGAGATGAACAATAAGCTCTTATGGAATAAAGATGATATCTTCCCTAGATATAAACATTTTCATTTACGTGGTGTACGTTTCGGAGATACAAATTAAATATCTTTGATAATCTTTTCAGACGTGTTATAAGAAGTAGTATGGGCGTTTCGTAACGAAACAACACAAAGTATACCTCATCTAGAAATTGATAAAAAAAATCATACATGTAATACATTTGCAATACTTCACACCATTGTGACCAGACATTGTTTTTTGTAAGATGTTGGTTAAGTGTTTCTGGTTGCACATATCATCCTACAGCAGTTGGAACACACAGTGACTTATATGGAGAACAACATAGACATGCTGCTGATAATGAGACAATGTGTTTTCTTAGGGCGGTAGCTCAGTGGAAATATTGCATAAAAATGAACAAGTTTCCTCCATATTCTGTCCCTTGGGTATATAATATAGGGCAATACAAATAAGACTATACACTGGCGTATAAAAATCAACCATTTTAAAAAATATGATCACATTTCAAGTTTTTTTTTTGTAACAGATATTTTGTATGTTATGAGCAATTTTGCAAGGTAAATTGACAGACGTAAAGAACCACATAAGTTTCCCATCCTTTACGTGGAAAATGCACAAAAACTTATAGACATATTCACTGGCTACTCTTGGCACATTTATGTGCGAATTTGATATTAAAAGAATGCTATTTTGATAATGAGCACTGGAATATTGTTAACAAAATAAGTTCAAACTTTATATGTCTGATTGTTTCGTTGGAAAAACCGCCATATGAGCATATCTCCGGATGTTTCAAACTTTTTTCAGCTCATCTTAAATTCTCCTTAAGCCGGTGCGAGGGGGTGGGGGCGTAAACGGTAGCTTTCATTCACCACTACCGTCTATGAACCTGCTCACTAAAATATTTTCAATTTTATCGTGTTTGGCTCTCTTTTGAGATCCTGTTTTTCTATTTGGTATTAAAATAATCAATGTTTGAGGTGCAACATGATTAACAGGAGATGGTTGTTTTATGCAAAGTATGACTGTCCAAAACATGGCGGGCCAACAGACGGTCATGTCCTCTACACTGGAAATATATTTCGTGATAACTATGCTGAGCAACTTAATGCAAACTGATGAAGAAAAGTGTTTGCTCGAGCAATTGCTCAGTGGATATATTGCAGATCTAGTAGTAATCACCCAATTTTTTCAATATATAGACCTACTGGTATGTTCACTATGAAAGCGAACACCGCCTCCGTGGTCGAGGGATTAGAGTTGATGACTTCTAATCCAGTTACCTCTCTGGCGTGGGTTCGATCCCGGGGAGATGCTTTGGTAGTTGAGGAAGGTAGTAAAGTACTGGTGTAACTCTCCTGGAACGATGGTTAGGAAACTACCCACCTATATGACTGAAATACTGTTGGGAATAGGCGTAAAATAAAACAAACAAACTGAAAGCGAACACAATGATTTTGTTTGTGTCATATGGCGACGTTCCAGCTAAAATGTTGCAGAAAAACCTCAGGTGCCATTCCGTGGAAAGGTCACCTGAGTAGAACCACCGACGTTCCATAAGCTAGCTGGATAGCTTCCTCACATGAAATAATCCAAAGTCCCTGTCGGGATTCGAACCCACGGCGAAGAGGGGCAATAATATGAAGTCAACGACCTTAACCACTCGGCAACGGACGCCGCGTACACAATGGTCAAACAGTTATATCTCTGTCATCATTTTATAATAATATGTTGCACAATATCTGAATATGAACAGATCGTTCACGATTAAGATTGTTTGTTTGATTTTCTGTTAATGAAATTCGGACCTCTTGCTATTACTTTTCTTGCAGAACAGCTTTGAGCCTTAAATTGCTGTGAAGAAGATCATCAATCTGTTTCTATGCCAATTTTAAAACATTATTTTGTCATACCTCGGCGGCGGATCCGCCTCACATGCTCTCCTTGACAACTTACTAATATCAACAAACAATTCCGCGAGTGACCGACAACTTATCCCACATGATTTCTGGACAAATGATAAAAAGACTAAATGTCGGAGTTTATTTGTCACGGAGGAATTTCGACTTGCCCGATGATAAAACCAGCGACATTTAATCTCTAAAGAGCTCTACTGAGAAAATCAGACTTACTTTATTACGAAAATGTATAGAAAAGCTTTTTGGCAGAACTGGACACTAATTTGTTGCAGGTAACGTAATACACCTTATGCCTTGTCTTCATAATCGTATCATTAAAGCACTTTGCTTATTAACTCATTAATACCAAATTATACATTTCTATTAATTAAACAGGTGTAATTCGTAAAGCCGGCTCCGGATGCTAAGCTGGATTCACGTTCAGCATTATCCAAAACCTCGCGACACAAAAATCTGGAAACAAAGTGATCCCTCGGAAGCATTAATCACAACAAAATTACAAGAGAATTGCAGACTCGGTTTGATTGAGAACAAAACCTAAGTTCTATGATGCATGGGGCGCTGCAAATTATCATACGGATAAAATCGGAATAAATAACAACAAATGCTGTGTCAATGGGTGTTTATTATAATGGCATTAAACCGAATACATGTAAACATCTTGAAATAATCTAATGCAAAAATAAATTATTGATTATGTTACAGAATGTGTTTCTGACTGTTTGGTTAAATGTTGTATAGTAAACAATAACTAAACAAAACACATGTTTGCTGTTACAGATGATTCTAAGGATGCTAAGGAAAACTTTCCCATAATCTATCTTATATAGATAATATATTTTAATCAAAGCCAAGCGTGTTTTAATGTAATTGTATTCACAGTTTTTGGTTTAAAGCAACTCGTCACCAGAAGATACTAGAAAATCTATCTCTGTACAAATATTTCAATACATCTCTTCCTGTATTCTTCATATACTATTAGTTAAAAGGAATCAAAATAATGCTTCACTAACATGCATATTTTAACTTTTTTTGCTTCGAACATAGTTCGATTTTCCGCTATCGAGATACGCCTTCTTTAAATATACTACGGAATTCCTTCATTCGGATATTTATAGTACGGCGTAACGGTGTGGATACCGGGGACCGTATTAAGCTTATAGGGCAGCAAATAAATTGCTTTGGATAAAATATTTGTTGTTATTTGTGGCAATGAAAAGTTTGCAAAATTTTTTAATTTATTAATTATTACTATTTATTGCCACAACTTACGACAAGTATCAAAATCCCAGCAGAATAATCCCTTCTCTTGTTTTTGTTGTTGTTTCATTATCTCATAGCAGTGGTTTAGCTTTATCATTTAATTTTGAGTATTTTTACCAATCTGTCACCTTATATTTGTGTCTTCATGTTCCCTTTATGTTTCAGTAACCATTGGTTTCTTGACTATTTAATTGTTCACATAGAAAAAATGTGAAAATAGTAAAATAATGGCAACAACATGTTCTAATCGCGACAAAGTGAATCCTGTACATCAAGTAAACAAAAGTTCAATTTTATATGTACAAAGAGCACATACATACATGCATACATACATACATACATACATACATACATTCATACTACGTACAGACAGTCGGTCCGACGGAGGACGGACAGACAGACAGACATCAAACTATCATACATTTTATGTAATAATGTAAGAAACGTAGCAACGTTAAAATCACTACGACTGAATGATTTGGATTGTGAGTAAAAAATAATTTGAGCCGCGTCATGACAAAACCAACATAATGGGTTTTGAGACCAGCAGGGATCCAGACCAGCCTACGCATCCGCGCAGTCTGATCAGGATCCATGCTGTTCGCTATCAGTTTCTCTACTTGTTTGTTTTGTTTTGTTTTGGGTTTTACGTCACATCGACACAGTATAGGTCATATCGCGACGTTCCAGCTTTACTGGTGGAGGAAGACCTCAGGTGCCCTTCCGTGCATTATTTCAGGCACGAACGGGTACCTGAGTAGAACCACTGACGTTCCGTAAGCTAGCTGGATAGCTTCCTCACATGAAAGAATCCGAAGTCCCTGTCGGGATTCGAACCCACAGAGGTGAGGGGCAAGTGGTTTGAAGTCAACGACCTTAACCACTCGGCCACGGACGCCCCAGCTTCTCTACTTGTAATAGAGTTGGTAAGCGAACAGCATGGATCCTGATCAGTCTGCGCGGATGCGCAGGCTGGTCTGGATCCATGCTGGTCGCAACACCATTATGTTGGTTTTGTCATGACGCGGCTCATTTATAACCACACTGACATTAGTATTCCTATCAAAAGTAAACATGTTTTAAAATGATTAATTCATTAAATGTTTAAGCGCTAATCCAAACTAAACAAAGAATAAAACACTCAATCTTTACATGTAGTTTTAATTTCCAAAGGAAAGATTCTTTATTGTTTATATGTGTGTATGGATTATAATTATATATTTAACATAGTAAAGTCACAGATGTACAACTGTTTGCGAACTTAAATGTATATGGTCACTCCAGAATAAACAGTAGCTGATGAAATAGGTTTTTAAAAAAAAACGTGTGCGAAAATGTAATAAACTAAATATATGTAAAAAGAGTTTATTCCGAGGCTTTTTAAATATGCTGCAGAAACTGTATTAACTATTTTCCTTGAGCAACTCCTTTACACAAAACAGCTCCCCCTTCTTCCAACAACAATACAGGCCAAACAATGAAGTCTATTTTCTTTCCAGCCTTTGTATATTGTTTATATTTGTTGGTATCAAATTTGGATCCTGGCTTGGCAATTGTGTCAATTAAAACAGGTGGAGTTTGTACGTGCATAAGCCAACACAGCTCAATACAACGGGTCGTATAACTTCGCAACTTTTCCGGAATAAACCAGTCCTTCTGTGTTGATTCTATTTGCTATGAAAATATAAAGTAAAATTATACTTTTAATTTAAATTTATACTTTTAATAAATTTGTCATGTATCTTATCATAAATTTAGTTTGTATCATTATTTTTTATTTCATATTTTAATGTGTTGAAAACACATTAACATTTGTTTTCGTAAAATATTGTATTGTTGCAGAAAAAATATTTAAAATAAAGTAAGAACAAAGATCAACAAGGCAAGGCAACGTTCACAGAACGCATCCCCCGATTTAATTCAGTCAAATGCTACTTTGCAACATGTTTACATGCATTTATTTGATTGTATTATACAAATCGTGATAATCCTAATATGTGTCATAACATTTGCTTTAAAACGCACTTACCGATATCACATCAACAACGGATATATCTGCAGTCTGCTTTCGAAGTTCAGATAAAGCCTTTGACTGAACTGCTGAGAAGGAGACAGGGTTTTCCTTTTTGCCCTTTTTCTGGAAAAGAGATATCCGAATTCGTATGTAACTAAAATGTAATTAGGTTATAACGTTAAAATCAAATATATTCTCCAAAAATAATTATAAACAAAATCTATTATATAACAAAGACATACAGGCTTCAATGTATTGACTTATAAATGTTTGTTCTGTAAAGAAGCATACATTGAATATTTGATACAATTTTTGTTAAATACGTGTGTCATAACGTGACAATGAAACATATTTTATATCTAACTGTAATATCTTATTATTGTTTATATGAATAGATTTATTCATAAAAACAACGAAAAGTTTAACAAGGATATCGATGGAGGTTACCAAAACGAGCACATGAGAGAGGGAAGAATGTGGAAGTAAGAAATGTGTAGAGTGAATGAGACGCTGGTAGATCATGCCTGATACTTCGAGAATGTGTAGGTGAGGCCAAAGTATTCCAACATTCAGATATTAGGTTGGTATACTAAAGTTTGAATGTTATTTTGTAATTAAAGGAGAGAACTTAGCATAGATAAATACCTAATGAAATAAAAAGTGATGTTTTGCTCTTAAATGGTAAAATGTTCTAAATATATAATTTCAAGCAATGTGTAAAAAAGAAGAAAAGTCATTAAATGTGCGTTCTTTACAGGGACTAAACAAATAGAGTAAATAGGAATCCCAAAAGAAAGCCAAAATGGCCAAACTGAAAGTTTTATAGGCTTGGTTTGATTGAGCCTGTTCATGGACGGTACTGTCAAGTGAAAACTACCGTCCTTGCCCCCTATCATCGGCTTAAGCACAATACAACTTTTAAACATGAAATGGTAAAATTTCGAATTTTGAAAAATCCGCAAATTTGTTCACACGCGGTTATCATGGAACCTTCAGTGTGACGCTTCCGTGCTATTCCGTGAAAAGTGACATATGGTCCCCAAGTAATAGCAAAACGTGTGCCCTAAACAAGAAAACAATGGGTGGATAAAACAAAGTCGAATTTTGAGAAAGAGAATCAGAGGTTATGAAGTCTGCAAGTCACAGATATGGCATCAAAAGACAAAGTTAAAAAGCAGGCAACATATCTTAGGGTGATTCTACATTATTCAAGATACAAAATTGGACCCACCAAAATAGAACATGCTAAAAATATAACACTAAGATACTAAAAACACAACAATAATGTCTAGCTGAACGATCTCAAAGGGTCGGAAATATATATTTTTTCTTATTGAATGTACGGGGCGACTTTTTACAGCCTCCACACGGCACAAACACTGCTGATGTCATACTTAAGTTGGACTAAAAATTTAAGCCGAAACATACAGCTAATACATATTCCCTTGACAGTTTCGTCTCCTTTGAAAGTTCAATAAGTTTAAACCATGTTTTTTTCCGGAATAGAAGAAAATTATCGGATAGACAAAGAGACAACCACAAGTATCTCTACTGAGGATCATAGTACACGTTATTGTTTACCGTAAGAGAGCATTATAAATCAAATAAATGATTTCAAAACACTCTTTTGCCCTGGCTCTCATGTAATGTTAAAATATCCACTGTCTTTCTTCATTGTGTGAAAAGTATTAATCGCGGGAAACTTGTGTAGATATCAATACCAGAACAATAATTATTTATACCTGTTGTGATGCTTGTCCAGTTTCTATATTATCAGCAGGGTAACACACAGCATTCTTCAAATTTCGTTGATGATTCTTGGATATGTTTCCACAAATTCCATAACAATCCTTTTAAGAAAGTAATAAAAAAATGCATTTTCATTTCTGGGTACCAGGATATCAAAGCAATGATATAACATAGTTCGAAAAAAGAAACATACTTTATTCTGACGCGAGATATGCTCCTTCGGAAAATCATATTATTTAGTTGTTTCTACATTAACATCAACAAAAATTTGATTTAAATATAATTTTGGTTTTAATGTCATTGTAAACAATATACCGGAAGTAACCCATTGCTTATCCCTAATTTATAAGTGTCATTAAAGATTAGGATTTTTATACATGTATAATTTATGCTTCAGGTTAAATTTAAAGGAACAATATTATGCTTCAGAAACAATTAAATATTTACTTCTTCTATAGTGTTTAAATAATTGTTTAAGAGAATGGTAGATGTTTGGTCCCTGAATAAAGTAGCAATAAATGTGGAATAATTTGTCATAAACGTAGCAAGATTATTAACACAGCAGTAATTTGACTTCCATACAAAAAAACTAATTTATTTTAACTGCACTGATTTCCAAAAAAGCAACAGGTGAAAAATATGATTCAGGTAATTTGCCAATGAGTAATGTTTTGAATACTATGAAATTACACCAAAATTATGAAGCTTTTGAGAAATAAGAAATAAATTAAGGCATTTCTGAGGTATAGTTGGTCTTTGATAGCCCTCTTACTACGATAATCTTCAACAAAAGATCTGTGTTTTCTTGATCTTTATTTGTCAATATTTCGTATGCATCTGTCCAGGGGGTGTCATACAACTCTGAATACTGTTCGGCTATTTTGGTTGGACGATTTGGATCACTAAGATCTGCAATATTTGGATTGTTGTCCGTCAGACGTGCTCCAGCGACCTTTGATAATCTAATAACATATTTTATATTGTTAAGATAAAAAATAATTAGATCAATTAGAATGTTACACATTTTACTTAAAATAAAATTTGTACATTAACAGTATAACAATATTTTTAGCAAAAACCCGTTTTGACATAAGCTCCACAATGGAAATATGTGGTTAAGTTCTCCTAGGTATGATGTTTGTGATATGGTTACATTTCTAATACATTGATTTTTGTTTTTAATAATTTGTCGTGCATTGAATATGACGTGTTACTATATTATTGCATAATAATGAAATTAATCTATCTATCTTTTGAATATTGATAACGTTTGAAATCATTGACTGAGTTGTAAAGCCAAACTTGTTTTTAAACATTAATGCATAATCATTAACATTTATCATTGATTTTAAATGGATTGTTATTTGTCAATTAGATATTTAGTTTTCACTATATCTTATTTCATTTATATAAAAATTTAGTCTTAATCCGTATTAACATTGCAAAAGAAAGTACAGCTTAGCTTTGGCTTAGTATAAACATGCTCCTGAGAAACGTAATCATAATGCACATAGTATGTAGACATAAAAAAGGACAGTGATACCTTTAAACGAGTGTAAGATTTTTTTTGTAAACTTTGTTTAAATTAATGTTTCTTAAGTTTTGTTTTATATTCATACTTTTTGTGACTAATAAAGTTAATTTTACCTATTATATGCACTGTCTTTTTCTTCCCTTAACTGTCCCATTTCAACATGCAAATACCTCATCTTTTCTCGTAAACTATCATAATCTTCTTTTCTGACATATCTTAACTGAAAACTTAACACAAATTACAGTCTTTTAATTTTTCGTAAATGAATGAAATAACACAATTACTTTATTTTTTCCTCTATCATGTTACGAGCCAGGCGTAACGAGAAAGAAAAGCCAGCAACAAACATGTAACAATAACAAATTTATTACAGAAATATTATTAATGAAACATTAAAGAACAATTTATGCTTATAAATACCTGAAGTCCAAATAAAAATATAAATCCCAACTGTTTAGTCTGATCCTGGAATGATCCCTTTTTGAACAGCACAGTTAAAACCAAATTAAATCCAAGATCACTTTAGAATAAATTCCCACAATATAATCCACAAGAGTAATTTAATCTGATAAAATCCAAGCTCCAATAAATCTGGCACTAATTACTTAATATCCAAGTTGAATAATACTCCAAATGTATTGATGACTTAAAAGGTAAATGATGACTTTAAAGGTAACTGATGACTTAAAAGGTAAAAAAAAATATCCCCTAAAATATACTAGCTAAGATCATTCTAGATCAGTCTCTTATATTCTTTCTATTCTACAGTAATCATAATCTAGCACCTTTCGATAATAAAGAATAATCTGGAAATTTCTATCTAAATATAATGCATGAATCATAATCTAGAATTTTCTACAACAGTTAAGAAATTTCTTGTTAAATCATATTTACATACATGTAGTTATATGTTCTAAAAATAGAACAATAATAATATTGGAAATACCAATTTGTAAGAGATAAACTATATACATGTAATATGTTGCATACATAACAATCAGGTAATGTTGATTTGAGTTTTGATCACGTTGGTGATATTTGAATGTTGTCTTGCTTCATGTAATAAGTTATTCTATATCACTTAAACTGTTTTGTTGAGATCAAATTGAATAAAGCTGAAACAGGTGATATATAATACAGTCTTTGTTGTAATACTAGTAAAAGTCATGAACATTTTAAAGGAAGGCATGCGCTTCTCTTAAATAGACATTTTTCATTTTTTTAATCATGCAAATTATATCACAATAATTGACATCAAGGGAAAATGAATGTTAAAACTGCACTTACTTTTCTACCGTTTTCTTGATCGCTATGCATCTTTTTGAAACTGAACCAGTTTTTCTGTCGATTTTTAAATCCTTTTCAAGCATTGTAAAAATCTCGACAACTATATTGGTCTCATCTTTGCAACTGGAAATTTTTTAAAAACATTTGTATATTTTCCACAATGAAAATAACTTAATCGCATTTTTTTTCTTTACTGTCGTGAATTTAATGAACAACCTAGAATCAAATTAGTATTGTTGATAAATTTTACTTAATTTCAATATCATAAATATTTTTCTTTTTCAGAAATTCTAGTTGTGAAAGAAAACTTTTAATGACCCTATATTTGCCACTTTGTTAATGTTTTATGTCTCCACGAAATAGCAAATATCTACGTCATCAGCCACCGTGAATATCCATTATAACAATTCCAATTAATTTGTTATAGTCTGCTTTCATGTTTTATTTATTGAACCGTTAGATTAAACCGGGATGTCGTTTTCGTTATGCATATTGGCATTTATGGTCATGGTCTTTATTTGAAGTATGTTCCGTTAAACTACAATTAAGGCGAAATGACTTATTTTTGAGTTTATGAAATTTGCTTTATTCTAACGTACCTTTCCAATATTTTAAGCATACTTTCACATGTATCAACAAGTGAACGTTGTTCGCCACTATTTGAATGATTTTGTCCACTTAGATCTGAAAGTATCATGTTACACTTTTCTTCCACTTTGAATACATGTTTTTCTATCCTGAAAAAAAGCCAGACATATTTAGTTTTGCTTCCGCAAAAAAACAACAACAAGTTATTCCTTGCTTGTATTTTTCTTTGTTAATCTTATTCTTCTTTTTGGATAATGTTAATTTCTACTTGCTATTAAATTCTTTATCATTTGTCGCGTTCAACATATTTAAGGTAGTATACCCCGAGTGGGCACTATCAAGGATTAACAATTAACAACAAAAGTTTCATTCATTAAAAGTATATCTGTATTCAAAAACTTAAACACAATTTACCCTACTGTAAAAAATCGGACATTATTTCAGTAAGGAAACCTCTAACAATCTTTATTATCGTCATAACATGTATTCCTATTAATTAGTGTTAAGAAACAAATTCTATCATTCATCTTGCAAACCAAACATACTAAATGATTGTTTCCAGTCAAATTGTTTAAAATATGTATAAATATGATCAAAATCAACCTTATTTAGCTAATTAATACATAATATGATAAATTTATAATTAAAATGTAACAGTTTTTTTCTTCTGAAAAGGATCTGAGAGATATAAACAAGAGCAATGCTAGGCAGAGAATTATACCCGTAAGTGATTTTTTTAGTAAAGATGAAGCATTTGTAAGACATTGGAATTAAATAAAGTATTACCTCCTTCAAAAAACAATCCTCCTTTGAATATTGTGGTCGAAATGGAACTTAAGTTATGCCCCGGAAACTGTTTTCAGTTTTAAGGTAATAGTGACCTTGACCTTTGACCTTGTGGCCCCAAAATCAATAGGGGTCTTCTACCTAATATGGACAATCATCCTATGAAGTTTGAATATTGTGGTCCAAATGGATTTTAAGTTATGCCCCGGAAACTGTTTTCAGTTTTGAGGTATTAGTGACCTTGACCTTTGACCTTGTGGCCCCAAAATCAATAGGGGTCTTCTACCTAATATGGACAATCATCCTATGAAGTTTGAATATTGTGGGCCAAATGGAACTTAAGTTATGCTCAAGAAACTGTTTTCAGTTTCAAAGTAATAGTGACCTTGACCTTTGACCTTGTGACCCCAAAATCAATAGGGGTCTTCTACCCAATATGGACAATCACCCTATGAATTTTGAACACTGTGGGCCAAATGGGACTAAAGTTATGCTCCGGGAAACTGTTTTCAGTTTTAAGGTCTAATGACCTTGACCTTTGACATTGTGACCCCAAAGTCAATAGGGGTCTTTCACCCAATATGGACAATCATCCTATGAAGTTTGAACACTGTGGGCCAAATGGGACTTAAGTTATACTCCGGAAACTGTTTTCAGTTTTAGGGTCATAGTGACCGTGACCTCTGACCTTGTGACCCCAAAATCAATAGGGGTCTTCTACCCAATATGGACAATCATTCTATGAAGTTTCAATATTGTTGGCCAAATGGAACTTATGTTATGCTCCGGAAACCAAATTGCTAATGAACAGACAGACGGACGGACGTACCAATTTTTCAAGTTTATGAGCTATTTCTATTGTTCTTTTCTTTTGTTTCCTTGTGGGCTGACTATTGTTTCCTTATGAGCTAACTATTATTTACGGAATGAAGTCCTTTGTTCTCTTTTGTCCCAGTGTACCGTTAGTTAGATATTATATCTAAAATGTTTGTGCGGACGGACGGACAGACGGACGGACGCCAGGGGGTATAACATAATATCCCCGAAATTCTTTCGGGCATATAAAAAGCAAGATGGTCCTTTAACGCTCAAATAAACAAGAATGCATTATTAAATTCTGGCGGCCATCTTGATTAACAATCCAGTACCATTTGAGCATTTTTCATAGACCAAAATCTACCCAATACCTAAGCAAGAGATGTCAATGAAAGATCTTTCCTATTTTAAGCATTGATGCTATGTTATTCAGCAGACCAGCACCATTTAAGCAATGGTTTTGACAGATGCATAGTGTCATCAAAATATACCTAGAAGATCTAGTACAAGACGGAGATCTTGTTTAAAAGGTAATTTAAGCTCTGTCGGGAACCATTTGAGCAATTTTCATAGAGGGCCATCCAACGATTTATGTATAGTTTTATCTTATCACAATGGAGCCAAACGTTTAGGAGGAGAAGTTGTTTAAATGAGTTTCTATCTTAGCATGGCGGCTATTTTTTCTGCAGACCGGAACAATTTCAGAAATTTATTATAGAAAACTATCCAAGTTTCATTGTTGTAAAATTTCATAAATATTTACTATAATGAAGGATTAAATCGCGATTAAGGGGTTATGTATATGTACCTCTGGCGGCTATCTCGTTCAGCATACCAAATTCATTTGTGCAATATTTTGAAGGTAGCATTAAAGATCATTCCTCTTTACTTTTATCACTATTGGTGTAGGGGCGTAGGAGATGTCATTTAAGTTAAAACGTTAC